GGTCTTGACTTATTTATCGTCCTGGCGACTATCAGCCTGAGGGCAAAATGCTGGCACCTCAGAGTGAACGACAGGTCAGATGGAGGGCGCTAGCGCGATTTTTGAGGTGGAGCGTCTTTCCTGCAGTCGCACCATTTAGCATATATACCTCGATGACGATTTGGTAAAGCAGCCCAATCGTCCTCTCTGGTCGTCGGGAGGGAACAGCAGAGGGTAGATCACCGGGTCGCAGGTGGGCTTCATGGGCGAGATCCTTGTCAGGCCCCATCCACGCGGCTGTACAGCAATGTTCCTCTACCCCGGCACCAGTCCGTCCCAGCACGCAAACACTGCGGCCACCGCATCTGCCGTGGGGGCTTCGTAGCGGCACTGGTCGTTGTGGTCGCTCCTCCGGATAAGCATCCTCACTTCCCTCACTGGCAACTGCTCCCGCCTGACGCTCTCTTCCTCCTCCTGCTCAACTTGGTGCATCTGCCTATAGGCCGCGACGGACGAACTCATTATCTCGATGGCTTCGTCTAGCACCACCAACACTCCAAGAAGACACCCTTGATTCTCCTTAGCGTGACTATGGTCCTTCGTTCATGTTGCAGCGTCAACTAGTAGTTACGGAACTGAATGAGCAACTTCCTAAGCAAACGATCGAGAGTATTATGCAAAAAGAGAGTTAACTGTTTGCTCCGACATGCAGGATACAATTTTAAAATGTATAAATATTTATGTATGAATTTAAAATGGGGTTTCTCCGCAAAGTACACAGATGAAGGCAGGTTCTTTGCAAGACTCCCCTCACTCTCCTTTCCGCCCCTCATGCGAGCGTCTCGTAGCCTTGTCAGGTAGTACAGCGAAATATTTCAATCGCCAGAATGTATAAAACCGGAACACAACGGTTGCTATAGACCAGGGTTCATAAAAGAGGGGTGGAAGCCGTGTCCACAGCGGTAAATGGCGATGGTGCTGTACGTAGGTCAAAATGAGAACCAATAGCAGCAGAGTGTTTACACGCCCCGAATCCAACCGAAACCGACACTGGTGCTGCCAATAAAAGAAGTTATGATAAGAAATGAAGAGAAGGGACACCCCTAGACGCATGGAACATGCATAAGTGGACGTTCCCTGATTATTGACGACATCAACTTTGTAGGTACGGGGACCAGCAAGGGTGGTCGGTGAGACCTTTAGTATAGGAAACCAAGGCCAGAACCATGGCATTGCGAAATGCGAAACTTGTGAATTCCAGCCATCTCACATTAGCTCGGAGCTGTCATAAAAATCATTTTCCTGTCACCATTATTGGCCATTTTTTTTCACTTCGACTAGAAGAGTTCTGGGAGGTATGACTATCCCAATAAATGGAGATGCGGGTACTTGCGTTACTCCCAACTCTGATGGGATCCCGCCGCTTCCACCCTCTGGAGTTACTCTGGGGTTTCCCGCTTCAAGGTTCATATCGAGGTGTGAACATCCTTAATTATGGGAGGGTAGGGGTGTGCATATAATACAATGACTCTTTCTCTCCTATTCTACAGAATGGATCCGACGGTCGCGAAGGCTAGAGAGAAAATTGCGAGTTCGAGAGCGTGAGACAGGCACTTCAACCCGCGAAAGTCTTCCACGCAGGGCCGGATTGAGGGTGGGGGGGAGTGAGGGGCGCAAATGGGACTATTGCTTCGGGTTCCACTCTTTCAGGGGGCCCCCCCGGAAGAAAAATAACGTTGAAATGTTTGCGTGAAGTAGCGGGCGGGATTACATCAAGAATCCACTTGCCCCGGGACTCCCAACTTCTTAATCCGGCCGTCATTCTATGGGCTGATTCTCGGGTATTACCGAGCTCAGTCAGTAGCCCTACAACTCAGCGGTCCTCTCAATGACAAAAGAAGCAGTCCCTCTATCCTGCTTTCGAGAATGACCTGTGGACTTCCACGAACTTCAGGTCAGCCTAGGCCACGGCTGCCAAGCTGCCGGCCAACTATTTCATTTTCTCCGGTGTGCAAAGTCCTAAACAGTTGGTGTCGGAAAAACTTTGACTTTTCAATCCGTTAGAAATTGAAACTTTGTCAGATTTGCTAATCTGGACACAGCCACTCCTGAAGGGTTCCATCCGGTCATCAGCTTAAGCGTCACTCTCCCCCCCCTGCCGCTTCAAACACACTCAGTCAACTCTTCATCGCTTACGAACGCTACTCAACTAAACAATAGTACATACACCATCCGGTGTGCCCCCCCCCCCCACCCCGCAAGCAAGGGACAGGCGGCAAATTGCTCCTTTTGGCCACGCCCCTCTCTCTACGGTTCTGAACTTAGTCGAGAAACCACGAGTTCAGTCAGCACTTGAACTCTGCGCGGCAGCCGCTCTCTCTCCTGTTCTGGAAAACGAACCCGACAGTCTCGAAGACTCAAAAGAAAGTGCTCGCTGGTGTTATTCCTTAAGTGATGAAAGGGGACTCCAAGTTTAATACGCAAGGGCGTTTTACACGTTCCCACTGGAACGTTCGTATAGGGAGGGGGGGGTTGTGTGCGTAAAATCCCCCACTCCCATTGCAATGTTAGGGAGGATATGGAGAGGGAAATCAATGTATCGGGTTCGGTAGTGTAGTGAAAAATAATTGTTTGTATATCAGCAGGGTACGTAAGCCTGCTTTGCCACCTTCGCACACCTGCAGCGACTGCAGGGTGCAATTGCTTAAAAAAATAACGATAATACAAATTGGAGGGGAAGAGACGTGCAGCGAGTTTAGTCTCTCAACAATGTCTCGGCCGGTGCATGACGCCTTCCATTTTCCCTCAGGAATCTCTTCTTCCGGATCCTCCCAGATATTCATGTCTCCTTGCGTGTGATCTTCTCGTCACCACACGGGCTCAAAATCATTCCTCCACAATGTCTCAAGTCTCGACTTGCCCCTTATAGGCTTATCCAATGCTCCTTTTTTTTAATGATACACCCGCATCTCCATTCTGATTTCTTACAGAAGTATCTCCAGGATTATTGGCGAACTCGGTTCGGGGGCGTGGAGGAGATGTGTTCCAATCTTCATCTCGAGCCCAAGGCGGGGATCGTTGGCAAGATTTATTCATAATTCCTTTCTCGGACTTGCATATGATTGCACGATTTTGTAGTGGAGAAAGGAAGGAAAGCAATAGAAAAGTCGTAATTGCAATTACCATTACCTTTTTTTTTTACTTCGCCTGCAAATTTATAGTGAAAAGTGAACGCAAACGACCAAGAACGCATTGCATTACTGATTTTCCAGAAATAATGGTCTAAACTGCACCTTTAAGGTAGACAATGGGAACTGGCTTACATCCTCCTCCGTACCCAGGGCATTAACTGATGCTCTTTTTTCACATAATGCTTTCACATACTACTCAAGCCTCGTGGAACGGTTTTGGCAGTCCCATGCTTCGTTCACGCCTTTCACTTTGAAAAAGAAAAGGTCAGGGATTTTCCTGGACGTTGAAATCCCCCCGTTCCATTCCTCAGCGGGAGCGTGTCGTGTACTTGGAACTGAATTTGTCGGCAATTTAAGGACTTGAAGAGGAAGTCAAGTGGTAAAATCTTAAAAGGAGTCTGGAGAGATGAAGCCATCATACTTTTTCTTGTGATTGAAAATTTTTTTGATAACCACCATCTGGTCGTCACATCGAGTTGTTGCAATTACAGGTAATACAACTTGGAGCCGATGCCGTTGTTTCGATACGCCTTTCGATGCGCCGTGACGATGGCACATCAAGGTATAAGCCACGGAAGTTGTAAAGCTACCGTTGAGTCATGCTGTGCTGATGCTATTCATCTTAAATACAGGGAAAGACTCCTATATGGAAGGGTTAGCATTCCAGAAATCCTGACGAAGAACCCAAAAACATCCCTCTGAAGTTGCGAAATCTTCAAGAGAACATCTGGAAACAGGTGTGTCTCTGTGTGCAGTAAAACCGTTTTTTTCGATCCCTGTGGTCGCGTCGTGAAAACAAGAGCGTGGCGTATATATCACGGTCCATGCTGCAGTTATTGACTCTGTTCCTATGAATAATTGCTGCTCAAGCGACCTTGATTATCCTGATTACTGAGGCAGCATATGAACCCTCACGAAAGAGCAATAAAGAAAGGGTAATCGTCCATAAACGTTGTGGTTATTATTTCATGGCACATGAATAGGTATAAGAGGAGTAATAACGCAGGAGATCGGTAAAAAAAAAATACTATGGGGCATGCTGCCAGGCAATGAGGGCAATCGTGGCGTTCATGTCATCGGTTCCAAGTCCAAAAGTATTCCATGGAGTATCGCATGGGCCCCCATCAAGTGAGGATGATGGGAAACGAGGTAACATCGTTTGATGGAAAGGGAATCTGGGGAATTTGGATGTGTAATGGGAGACATAGGACTTTTCGGGATTCAGGGGTTCTGCACTGACAAGAAAAACGGTTTGGTAAACCAACTAAACGGATTCTCACACACCCACCATTACTCACAAATTGATTAAACATTATAATCACCATAAGGAATAGTGCAATGAACTGAGAAATGTTGAACTAAAATCCAAGTGAAGATCCAAAGGCTTAAAATCCAGAATCCAGACAAGTGGTCTTAAAATCCAGAAGGCCGCAAGAACCAGGAAAATGTCACAGGGTCCAGGATGGAATGGACTGCAAGATCTTCAATGCTCGAAACTAATGTATTCCATCCCGCTGTCTAACAATTACAATTTAGTCACATGGCCAAATCCACGCACATCATTATGCATACAATACTAACAAAATTGTCACTGCTAGACAACAGGTTGGGCACGTTAGGACTGGCCACTTCATAATATTTGGCTTAGGACTGAGTATATAAGTGGTCCGCAAGGCCAAGCGCAGATTTATACTAATACATTCAGGCCTAACAAATATTGCTCACTGATAAGGATCACACTCAAGGCAAAACAAATAGAATATAGACGGACATTGCGATTCGAGTCACGTCCCGGAAGAGAAGGACGTATCATGCGCTTCGACCTTCGCGTTAAATAACCCAGCAGATTTGCCTACCCGTCTATGACATAAAATAAAACAAGGAACAGCATATAAACAACACGCAGAATGGCTGAAAAAAGTGGTCAAGTTATTCAGGCCCACTTGGGAATCGTGAACTAAGGCCTTTCAATTAAAAGGTCTCTCCCCAGGGGTGGAAAAAAAAGATTATATAATCATCTCTAGCGAAAAGAAAATTGCATGTAATATTTTGAAAATATTTTGTGCTGATCGCAATATCAAGCAAAAATGGAGGCCTTTAACATATCAACTGAATAGATTCACAGTTTTTATGTCGTGCGTTTTGCTGTTCTACCCAGAAGAAGAGGCTGATGTATTTATGCCATCGGAACGTTCATTTAACTAATGAATGTACCGGTCGAATTGGAGCATTGAAGAATCGTGACTTGACCCACAAGAGAAGCATTTCCAATCCTTCGTAGAGGCTGAGAAGAGAGAATCCCAAATAAAGCCCGATCATCCCTCCAATGTCGGAGAGGAACTGAGGTAGCGATGTCAATTCCCGCTCTTCCACTATTTCAAGCTGAAACGCAACATAATGTATGGTTTATTTCATTCTGGAGTGCCTACGCGACTATAAAAGTCATTCGAGTATGCTATAGACCAAGGTATGCTTCGTGACGTTGCCTTGACCGATTAACAATGAGCTCCTTTTGAAACTGTCATTTTCAGCGACTCACTTCGGCTGCTTGGAAGTTCAACTTGATCCCTCCTAGATTATCTTCAGCAGGAAAGGCTACCTCTTGGAAAGGGATCACGTTATACGTCGTCCTCTTGCATTTCCTCAAACATCCAGGATCGTAAGACTGCAGTGCAACACCATAATGGTAGAAGAAAATAAATACTTCAAATAGGGCGCACCACTCATTCGTGTCTGTCTGGTCAGGAATGTTTGGTACAATTGGCGGCATGGAACACGTAAGGTTCTTGAACACCTTCTCCGTTAGTGCAGTTATCAAACACTGTATATGATTAGGAAATATATATTGGATCACCTTTTTAGAATTGTAAGAGACCTTGAGAGTTTATAGATTGAGGCTCAAATTACCTTCTGGTAGTCGTAGTTCTCGTCTCCATTGCACTGACTTCCTGAGGGCAGGAAATTGTAGTCTTTCACGGATAGGCTCATCATGTAACTGCTTCCCTCCGTGAGGAAAAATGTCTGTCCTGATGATGTGACGTTTTTCATTTCTGTGAACGGTTCTTCTTGCGAGTCTATGCGAATCTCGTAATAGCCACTGTTGTTATAGTCATGAAAATTCAAACGAAGCTGAAATATAGAGAACAGAGTGGGAAGCATTATAGGGAGCGCGGTATCGGCATGGAAAGTATAGCAAAATTTCAGGGGCCAAGTTTCAGTGGTAGTCAGGATCCTTGTTTCTCTCCAATATCCCGCTGAGAAATGATAAATGATATATTTGCTTAAAGTTCATCATGGAGAAGAGAGAGAGATACACGGTGATTAACGGACTTACCAGCCGTTTTAAATACTTGAGTGCCATTTATCCAGGTCCAGAAACCTTGAACACAATCTCTCGCAAGGTTCGGCTCGGAAAATAAAAGGCAGTCGTTCACGATTTTATGGAAGTCCTTGAAAGTGAACAAGTCCAGCCCTTCCCATAAGCTCATATTAAGCTTTTTCGGGAACTGGAAGGCGAAAGGCATTGTTTCCTTGGTGAGATTGTGGAGTTTCAGGGCAGTGTAATTCAACGCATCAGAGGGACACAACGTTATTTCCGGAAATTCCACGCTTGCTTGGGACTCGATCCGTATATTCAGGATCGTTGGGTGGCTATTGAAGTATTCGACCAACTCCTTCCCCTGTAAAACACCCCACGTTTTATAACAGGTTGATTTGTTTTACTTTCTCCTGATTGAAGAGAATTTGACGTCAAAAACCTGAAAAATTGTGAGTGAGACTGCTGTACATAATATGAGGATCCAGAGTAATTTCAGGATCGCTGACCGTGGCAAACCAATGTGGCTCATTGGAGAAGCCGTCGTCCCTGTAAGATCACAAAAGAGGTATTCCAATGCAAGTGGTCAGGTGGTTGTTCCGCCTTAGATTCTGCTTCAGATTTTTATTTAAAAGCTATTTACTCTTGTCTGCAAGAGGTATTAAGAAAAAAAGTAAGATCGAAGTTTTTTTCCTGAAAAAGGCATTTCAGATATGAAACCTGAAAATATCCCCAAGAGAAAAAGTCCTATTTTGCTGTCAAAACTATTCCTTAAACAAAATTTAAGTTTGGGATCGGTTTTGGACTAAAATTAATGCAAAGTCAATGCAGAACCAGATTAATACATGCATTACTTTTCTTTTTTTTTAAAATAAGGTTCACAATTTCAAAGAAAATACCATGAAGTTTGTGTTTACACGCAAATGTTGAGCAACTTTGAACTTGCTTGCTTTCTTTTGAGGTCTACCGGTATTAGTAGCGCAACAAAAGTTCCTAAAATTGTATGACCCGGAATTCCGCAAGTACGTGTTGACTCTTTTCTGTCTCATCATTCGATAAAATCCTTATGTTCCATGAATCCAATTACACAATGAAACTAACATGCTTACGTGTGGGAGTGCACTAAGCAAAGAAAGGGGGTTTCCGGTTAAGGTTTGGGTAGAAGGAACCATATACGCTTAACCCATATGTTTTCAGTATTTTCAACTACTTCAAATTACTTATATTATTAAATACCAAATTTCTCTTAAATGTTACTTGATAAATGCAACTTTTGTTCGCTTCATTAAAGAAAGAAAAAGAAAGTAAATGGTGTGATAGTGGCACTATTTTGGGTTGGGGACAATAATAATATTCCGGAAATATATTTAAAGCTGGGATAATTATACATTAACAGTTTGGTATCGCTCTCAAAAAGGCATGAAGTACCGCGAAAATACATGAATCCAAATGCTACGCACCTCTCCCAGGAACCATGTCGGATCCGTTTTGCGGCTTCAAGACGTTCCAAGTAACTCCTGGTTCCAACTTCTCCATGCCAGACAGAGCAATACTGCAAAATGCGTTTATACGAATTGAAGCAAGAGAGATTTGTCATTGCACAAGCATCTCGAGCATAAAGCGAGTAATTCCATTCAGACCTCTTTGGAACCCCGAAAGATTGTTTCAAGAACTCTATTTCTCTCTTCCATTGCACGAAATTTCGCTCCAGAGTGTGCAGCCTCTCGACCATCGCATTCTTCTCATCCGGTTTCCCATGTAAAACATCGTCCTTCGCCAGCGTTGCGTCACCTTTGGAATGGGTCGGGATTTCCCCTCGGTAGATCCTTTCAGAGGGAAAGTATTCCCGTTTCGTAGCGATTGGGGACAATAACTAGTTGTAACCTTATTCGTTATGAATCTTACTAACTTCAACAATATGCCGTTAGATATGTGTCACAATCGCTTCCATCAAATCAAGCCATCCACGTGCAGATAACTTACGGATCAACCAATCTATAATAGTGGAAACTGACATCTCGTCTCTTTCAAGACAAGCTGTATTTTAATGAAACATGGTCATGCACTAGTAGAGGACCAACTCTTCTTACATGAGGTGTAAATCTTATTCTTCCTGGATTTCAAAGAAGCGGCTTTCATCTTGGAATGAGGATATTCCCCGCGCAAAAGAAAATGGAGACAGTTTCGAATGCTTGGTATGTGAGATGATGACGTGAACTCACCTGGACAGTCGCGTGTCAATCCAATTTGAAAGCCACCGACGACGGCGATTCCTTTCTAAACTCATCATTTCGAACCTTCCAGCGTTACTCTCTTATTGGATGACGATCAAAGCACGATTAAGTGTGTAGTATAACCTGTCCAGCCAATGCACTCGTCTCTGGGCAACCTGCGGTGTGCTGTACTCCGTTTGCGCGTGTGCGATAGGCTGAGTCTTCGCTTAGACCTCTGCTTGGTCAGCCAACTCCTCCTTGTCTATTAAAAAAAAAGAATATTAGACAATATTACAATGCCATCTAAATATCCATATATCTACGACCATTTTAGCAAAAACCATGATATTTTAAGTATGCATTCATAAATGCCTTCATGATGCTACGAATTTATATTGCGAATGGAGCTTTTTTGGATTTGAAAACTCATGTGCTATAGAGTGCGGACGGTAGTAGATGATTAAGGACTAAGAATTATGCTACCTAAGCTTTGACGTAAGAGGCCTTCCTTCCCAAGCCTTTTTAGGATAATAAACTGGGGAAACGGACACGGGAAGATGCGTGTCATTGCGTCTTCTGATCTCAAGAAAAAGGAGTATGTAGCGTCTGAGTCGCCTATATATTGGTGGCACCGACGTGATCGTGCACTCAAGAACCGCATGTTCACAATTAATGACGGAACAGACGAAATAAAAAGAGATATAACTAGAAACAGCGTTTGTAGAAGTAAAAATGACATAATTATTCGAGTCAGCACCTTTTGGCAATGTGATCGTTTTTGTTCCCATGCTCTGTGGAGGTGAAAGCGTACTTCTTGGAATCTCTTGTTTCTATGAGAAACATGAAAAAAAAACTCAGATGCCGATTTGTTCCAACTCGCTGCCATGCGTATGCATACCACTGCGTCGACGTATTTGAGAGCTCTTACAGCGCTCGGTTAGAGTGGCTATTATGAACGCTTCAGACACGTGCTTAAATTTAGGTTCGGCCCCGGTACGGATCGTCCACGTTTGATGAACTCCCTACTATCGATAACATTAAGATAAAGTGAGGGTGTCCGGGAATGTGTTTAAATGGTGTAATGCTTGTTGGATTAAATATGCCTTTGAGGGGGGGTCTGAGGTACCCACGGAGCGTCAATATCATTATGAGGGATGATATAGGGAAAGTCTCATATATGCACAGGTTAGCATCGGATAACTCCTGAAAATGTACCCAAAAACATTACTTGGAATTTGGAAAATCTTCAAGCCTGGACATCATCACCTGGACACAGGTGTCTCTCTGTACCCTGTAAAACCGTGTTCGATCCATGTGGTGGTGCCATGATAACAAGAGCGTCTCGCTCGATCGTCTTCCTTATCGTTGTCCCATATACCTAATTATCGACTCCTCCCTTCTTCAGGCCTAATCCCCCTCATTTGACTGTCCAAGCGCCAATAGCTTGTCCATGAGCATTTGTGTACTCCTCGTTCTTTTCATTTTAATGCGGTCGACATGCTGTACACCGTTTCCCAGGATTTTTTTTCATCTTGCAGAAGTCTAACAGTGTTTTTTGCTGGCATCCATTTTATTAGTGTCATTATGTGTATTACTGTACACGAGAGGGTAATCTGTCAGTCGTTCCGGAAACTTCTCCCAGACGGATGAACGGATTTTCATGTCAATCGAAAGATGGAGGCGATACTTATCGAGTCGAAAGTACAATCGGTGTCGGAGAGACCCCTCGCAGTCCTGCGCAGAAACGCACTTATGGGTGGAACGGCTCGGAATGAAGGGCATGCAGTGTAAGCATGCAAAGGTGGCGAAGCGGGCATGTGGCACAGAAAACTGCGCCAATCCGCATCTCGTCCAAAATAAAAAATACGGAGTATTTCCTTATTCCAACCGCTCGTTCCAAATTCGAACTACGCTCTTACTTTAGGGCTACGGAGCGTAACTCGCAAAAAAGTTGCATTGAGACGATTTAGATTTCCTTGACGGAATGCATCTCCAATAATTGATTGAAATTCAGGAGAGGTTTACAATGCTATTAGGCGTAACTCACTGGATCTTGTTTCATGAAGGGACTTGGCAGCCTTTGTTCGAAACGGATGAGGAACACCATCATGGATGGCGATGGACTGTCTGGTTTCTGTGTCAGTAAGGTGCTGCGATCGCCAAAATCGCGCGAAGGAACCACTTGTTGCGAACATGTACCAACTGCTCAAACGGTTCACGACTCGGTGGGATGCTTCGTTGACGAACGATATCTGCTGATGCACTCCGTCCCAGCCCGACCATCACTCCCGCACATGTAGAATAGGTTTACAGCACCCTTCTTTCCGATCGGGGTGTGACAATCGAGAACCAGGTGACACTAATAAGGATATGCCACGATTCCCTTCATGCAAGCACCCGCGACTAACTGAGTATGTGGAAAGTTTGCGCTCGTTGAGTACTCAAGAATCTCAACGGCGACATGAATGCCCGTCGCATGGAGAGAACTGCACTACTAGCACTCCACGATGCAGATCCAGATGCCTTCTTTGAGGGACTTCTCAACGCCGACGAGACCTGATTTCATTGCTAGGAACTGGAGACGAAAGCACAATGAAAGCGATGGAGGCATTCAAACTGCCTGTCCCCCCCCCCCCCCCCCAATAAATTCAGGATTTCAGTAACTGGGAAGCAATAGCAAATTCTCCGCTATGTTTTGGTACTATCACGGAATTATACTCACCGATTGGCATTCAAAATATCAGAAGAACAAATGTTATGCACATACGACGACCTCCACGTGCCTACGTAGAGCTATTAAAAAGGATCCGAGTTCATACGGAAATGACAGCTTTGTCGCCCTAGCAAAGGACGACAAAGTTGTTGTTCCCGCATGACAACGGACAGCACAAGCAGACAGACCAAATCAATCTTCCCTTCCGTCGTTGTGCTTTTTTTTATTCGAGTGCATGTTTGTGGAGATCAAGGCACCATCTTCATTTATTTACTGTCACGTTGGACAAATTTGTAGGCTAATCACTTGCATCAGTTCCCAACATAATGATCCAATATGCAATTTGAATTCATTTCTGACATGCTTCCGGAATATATTCCTGTCGGCAATGAATTATTGTCACTGTATACTGAGTATCTGAGAATTAAGAGTGAAGTTTGGTGATCGACGTACTCATACTGTCTAGAAAACACAGAACGTCCTGTACATAGCATATCAATTGCAGGTAACTGCATTGTATTGATCCTAGGGAACAGTTGGGATAAAGTGGATTTCGTGGAAAAGGGGAATAAAGAGAAGAAACGAACATGGTCGGAAATTTGTGTCAATGCTTATTCCATATGCACTGAACATGGGCTGAAAGAAAAGTAATAGACTTGTATCGGAAGAAGGTAATATTTCAATAGTTTGGAAAGTCTTGCAAAGTTGATTTCACATAGTATATTTTACATATTTAGTTGATTTCATGAGCGATATCAATGGCAAGTAATATTCTTTACAGCATGGGGGGTGCTATGCTAAAAAAATTAATACTTTCACGGTTTTTCTTCAAGGAGAAATTTGTTTCGCTTCTTTTCATCAAATTCTTCAGTAGAAAATTTGAGTGTGAAACAACAATAGTATGAAACCCTGAAAACATCACAATGATTAGCGGAATTCATATTTTCAATTTAGTTGCCAGCTCTCAGTGCGTGAAATTTTTTGAATCGTGATGCATTGAATGGCTTTCCAATGAATCACGTCATTTCTTATGGTAAAACCAATTGAACTATCATTTCAGCCTTTGAAAATCCGTCATGCATACAAATACGTACAGGGCGAAATATATATATATTTTTTGGCAATGAACACTGACGCAAAAAAGGAATATAATCTGCAATCTTTTTTTTGCTGATGTGATTATATTGCCATGCATGCATGGCCACGTTGAGCTCTTGCTGCTGCTTTACCGTGTAGATGAAGCTGATTTCTTTACCTCATATGGATATTCTATCTTATGGATGTACGTGCCGAATTCGAGCGTCAGAGAATCGCGACTTGACCCACAATAATAGAATTTCCAAGCATTCATAGAGGCTGAGAAGAGAGAATCCCAAATACAGCCCGATCATCCCACCAATGTCGGAGAGAAACTGGGGTAGCGATGTCAGCTTCTGCTCTTCCATTATTTCCAGCTGTAACACATTGGAATATGGATTCTTCAATTTGGGTGTTGGAACTCTACATGAATGGTACATTTCACTTTAAAAGCAATTTTAGTATGCTGCATAGCAATGTGTGCTTCATGACGTTGCCTCAACAGAGGGCCAAAAGCCTCTTTCATCTTTTAATCTTTCATCTTGAGTGACTCACTTCAGCTGTTGGGAAGTTCAACATGATCTCCCCTATATTCGGTTTCACAGTAGAGGCTGCCTCCTGGAATGGGATCACGTTATACGTCATCCTCTTGCATTTCCTCAAACACCCAGGATAGTAAGACCGCTGTGCTTCCTCAAAAATGGAGAAGAAAGTCCTTGAATCATCGATTTCGCACTCGGGCTTCATGTTTGCTTGTCGAGGTATGTTTCGTAACACGGACGGCATGGAACACGAAGCATCCTTAAACACCTTCTCCGCTAGTGCTGTTTCTACACACTGTGGGTTATAAAAAAAAAAAATATATATATATATATATATATGTATATATATCACATTTCTAGAAACTGAAGATGCATGGAACGTTTATAGAGCTAGACTTCAATTACCTTCTGGTAGTCGTAATTCTCGTCCCCATTGCACCTATTTTCTAATGGCAAGAAATTGTACGACTTCGCTGATAGACTCAATACGTAATTATCTCTTTCCTTTAGGATAAATTTCTTTCCTGGTGATGTGACGTTTTTCACTCCTGTGAACGGTTTGTCTTGGGAATCTATGTGAATCTCGTAAAAGGGAGTGGGGTCAAAATCATGATCAAAGTCTTGAAAGTTCAATTCAAGATAAAAGAGATAGGGAAGGGAGGGGAGATTTATAGAAAAATTGGTATCAGCATGGAAGGTGTAGCAAACTTTCAAGGGCCAATCCTCTTCGGCTGCCAGGAACCTGGTCTCTCTCCAGTATCCCGCTGAGAAATGTTGTGATATACTTGAGTACTTTCTTTTCAAGATGAGAATAAGAATTGTCGATTATCGGACTTACCCTCAGTTTCGTATGTGGGAACTCCATTGAACCAGGTCCAGTTACCAGTGTGACAAGAAAGATAGGAATTCTGATCGGGAGAGAAATTGCAGTAGTGCACGATATTAGAGAAGTTCTTGAAAGTGAAGAAGTCCAGCTTTTCCAATAACGTCATATTAATAGCCCCCGGAAGGGGGTATAATGGGTATTGAATTAAATTCCGGATCAGATTGTGGAGTTTCAGTGCAGTGCCATTGAAGTCATCTGAGGGACACAACGTGATTTCGGGAAACTCCACGCTGGCTCGGGCCTCGATCTGTAGATTCATGGTCGTTGGATCGCTACTGTAGTAATCGACCAACCCTTTCCCCTGTAAAACACCACACACTTTATCAGTAGAAAATCTTCATTTAAAACTTCCTCATGAATGACAAGAGTTGGACGTGAAAAACCTGAAGAATTGTGAGTGAGACTGCCGTACACAATATGAGGATCCAGAACAGTTTCAGGATCGCTGACCTTTGTGCCATCCCAAAGTATCTGATTGGATATTTCGTTGGAACTGAAAGATTACAACTGAGGAATTGTGAATTGGTCAAGTAGCGATTCCGTTTCCGAATTCGATTTTTTTTTAAGGCCTTAAAAGCTAGTCTACAAAAATTATGGGGAAAATAAATTTTTGCGTTGTGGCTGTAATGGTGCATGAAATGCACCAAATGCACCACATGCGACCTGAATATCAGCCTCAATAAAGTATCATTTGCTGTCAGAACTCCTTTTCCGATCCTAGTTGAGCTAAGGAAGCGTTTTGGAGCACCAATTTATGGTAAGACAGTACAGAACTTCGTTATTACATTCAATTTTTTGCCTTTTTAAAACAAGACGTAAATTCCCCAAAATCCTAAACCAAGCAAAAAGTTTCATTGAGGTTTTGAACAAATTTGAACTTGTTTGACACTTTTGGAGCATGTCGATATCTGAAGTAGAAGTTCCTAACATATGTTAATGTTCGAAGCCTTAACAACAGTTGTCATTCCGGGTTCATCCTTTTGAAGGATTTCCGATATTCCATTAGTGCAATGAGACAACAAAAAATAATGAATTTCCGTGCTTGAGAAGAAAAAACAAAGGAGATCAGTACGAATGAGTTCGTGGAAACACGTATATATGCTTTTCGTCTTAATTTGAGGTATTTCGAACCGCTTGTAATTATTCAGAATATGAATACCCCCGTTCACCTGAATTTTTCTCAATTAACGGGACACAGTTGTCCGTTTCAGCGAAGGGAAAGAAGTAAAATAAAGAGTATGGTAGTGATCCTTTTTTGGCGACGATATTAATATCATTCTGAAAGCATAGTTTACTTCTAATATGTACGATGTGGCAATCTGGTGTGGCTCTCAAAAGGCATGAAGCGTAGTGAACATGCGTTAACACAACTGCTTTGCACCTTCTCCAGAAAACATGCCGGATCCGTTGTATGGCATCGAGACGTTCCTGGTGGCTTCTAGGGCCCCTTTCTCCTTGCCAGCTCGATCAGTACTGCAAGAGCGTTCATAGGAATCCAAGCTTCGTAGAAACCGAATGCACATGCGATTCGAGTATGAAGCGAGCAGTTCCGTTCAGACCTGTTTGAAACCCCGATGGATTCTTGCAAAAGCTTTACTTGTCCTTTCCATTGCACGAAGCTGCGCTCGAGATCGTGTTGCATCTCAACGAGATCTTGCAGCCTCTTGACAAGATCATGCTTCTTATCTGGCTTCTCATGAAACAAGTCTCCCATTTCCAGCGTTATGCCACTTTTTGAATGGGTTGGAATTTCCCCTCTGAAGGTCCTTTTTAAATGAAAATAACTACCGTTTCCGTAGGGATCAATGACAAGAACCAATTGTAACTTCATTCGGAGTCCATCTCCTAACTAACTAAATCAGCAATACGTAAATACGTGTCATTTACTTCCGTCAAATCGAGTCATCCACATGCAAATGACTAATTTACGAATCTATTTGCTGGGAGTAGTATGGACGTTAAAATCTCGCTTAGTTCAAGACGAGCTACATTGAAATGTAACATGGCTATGCTGTAATAGGACACGTGATTTTGTCACTCGAGGTTCGAAAAGTAATGAACGTCAATTTTCCTGGATCTCAAAGGAATGCCATGCCTCGTGAGGAAAAAAAATTCATTACGGAAAGGAAAATGCATTCCGCTTCGGATACCTAGAATTGCAGATTACTATGAATGGCACTCACCTGGACAGTCGGGTCTCAATCCAACTGGAAAGCAATCGACGGCGGCGATTCGTCTCGGAACTCATTGCTTTGGCCCTTCCAAAGATTCTCTTGCCTTGGAAGCTATACGACGTTGCGTAGCATACATGCAATATAGTGCGCAGTATAGCCTGTATTTCGTTTTCAGTCAATGGATTCGTCTCTGGGCAACCTTATATGCCGTGATCTCCGCGTGCGCGCATGCAATGTACTGTACCCTAGTTTTAACATATTCACTGCCTACCTCTGACTGTTCAGTCAACTGTCCTTAGCCACGTATTTTAAATACCGGAATATGGATATTTTATAATTACTTGTAAATTTGAGTATAAATTGAGTCAATTTTTAATGAGGAAATAGCCACAACGCCATGGCAATGCGGAAAGAAGGAGCATGCAAGATACTGCACAAGGACTCCTATTCAAAAATGTTTCGTCGGGCCAACGATGGCTTTTCGTCGAAATAGTTGGGCCATCACTGCTATATAGTTGGCTCACGGTTGGTTTAAGCCAGCTTATATTCGGGCATATCTTGTTGGCCCTTCGTTGGGTCAACTTTAGCTCATTGTTACGAAACTGCACACGCACCAACTATCGGCCGAATTTTCACAATGGCGAAAAGTTATTGGAAGAAAAAACGAAAAAAATTTACAGTTATGAGAGCATTATGTATCTATCATGAGAATGGCCGGGAGGGAAGATTGGATGGAGGAGAGGACGAAAGAAAGCCAGGGGACGGCCGGGAATTGAACCCGGGCCTCCTGATTACCGGTCAGGTGTGCTTCCATTACACCAACGAACCCAGAAAATTCCTTCGCGCCTCTCACTGACATCCTTATCATGACATATCTATCTCAGCCACATCTTCGTAAAATTTTTGGTCGGCCAACGCACAAGTGGCTCACAAGTGTGAGTTGGCCTGCCAATCATTCGCCGAAAATGGGCAAACTCCACCAGCAATGGCCCGAATATTAACCAGCGAAAATATTTGCCTGGGCAGTACTTTTTCCCAGGGTCGATAATTACATTATTTTTCTCTCTCCCTCATTTCTCTCTCCCTCATTTCTCTCTCCCTCATTTCTCTCTCCCTCATTTCTTCCCCTTTCCGCATGATTTTCTTTCCCTGACATGCAATGTGCCTCGGAATCGACTCGCACGAGTCGTTCATCCCGCACCTCATACATACACAGTGTGAAGTTTCCACCTCTCCCTCCACGCAGAACTGCCAAGAAAATGAGAGGCCCATTTAATTTCGATTGTCACGAAATGATGAATGACCTTGCAGTTCCGTTGTGGGAGTAACTTAGCCTTTGTCCCTTTCATCCTTCACCTGCTTTTATAACGCTTTCTCTCGATTGGGAAACGTTGTGGTGTCTAAGCCCATACTAAAAATAAATAATTGCTATGACTGTGAAGAGGATAACCTCCTTTGACGATGAAATGATTGTGTTTCTTTTTTAAGTAACCTGGTATATGCATGGGCATATAGAGTAGGTTATTCCATATTCATCAGGACTTTTCCATTGGGTAATTCACAATATCTCAGGTATTCATTACAACCATCAGACGATGTTTCATTGGACGTCAACATTGCACTGCATTGTCTGGGATAACGACGAAGTTTACACTGGCTAGCATTTGGAGGGGGAACTCAATTATTCATCTGCGTCATATCAATCCCATCGCAAGAGAGGGAGAATAAATAGGGACAGGCCCAGAGGAATTAGGATTTTGGGTCTCTAGATGCATTCACGTGACGAAGCGATAAACGGTTATAAGGAGGAGGCCGTGCATGGGTCATGCTGCCCTTGCTCTATATCCCCATCCCCATAATGCTTGTGGAGAGAGCACTTAAGGAATAGATGGGTTAACCTCTTAACCCATTTTTGGATCTCGATCGATGATAACCTCATCGATTAACGGACGGCAAACGATACCATTTGCATCATATGAACAGGCACCGCACATCAATACACTACAATATTGCCATATTTTACAGTTAAAGTAGCGTGACTGAAAAAAATACAGTATTCTACGTTCGAAATGGCTGTCTGTTTTGGCTGTTGCTGATACGGCAGTTTGGAGAGTCCTGTTCTGGTTCAAAGAACATTCACCCAAGAAATTGAAATGGAAGAACCAGCACCGACCAAAAAAAAAAGCTCGTTAAGGATCGGCACTCAAGGTTTCCTGAAACAGGCTCCATTCATCCCGGAAATCGTGGTCAGAGAGCAAAAGGGGTTTGGCCGAAGAAAAATGTGGCACGTGTGCAAGAACTGTTTGAGAGCGTTCCCCAGGACCTCAGTCAGAAGGCCATCTCTTCAGCTCATTCTCGGTCGAGCCAGCCTTCAGGCCATACGATCGTTTGCTTTTGCATAGTCTCTTTCCGGTCTTTCTTCCCCTGCAATGAGAACAAAGTTTTTCTCTTGTTCTCCAGCCCAGGGGGAATAAAATGCAACAAAGACAACAAGGAATATTTTAATCTGGAGCGACAGAGAAGGGAGCTATGTATTTCTCTGAAAATTATGTCATATATAGGGTCGTTAAAAAAAGCTCTACGTTTTTCTATGGGTGAAACACAATCTCATGATTGCAGAAAAAAAGTACACTGGATACTCGAACGATATTTGACAGTTCCAAAGTGTCGAAATGCTTGCCAGCATTATTTCAGCACCCCTGCCTTGGTCGTGCGATGCCCATTTAGAATTGAATTAAAGGTGCTTTGAAGTGCTATTAGAATAGTTCAGGAAGAAAAGCAATACAATATTCTCAACACGTCCTACGAGTACAATATCAAGAGCTTATGAATCTTACTTTTCCTTTACTCGAATTCATGAATCGTGCCTTCTTTCCTTTAAAAACTGTGGAGCTCTTTTTTAATCTCCTTCGGTCACCCGGTCAACAATAGCGTCCTCTATCTATAATACCACGGATGTTTCAATTAATTCCATTCGGATTAATATTTTTAGTCACGGATATTTTGGCCATCAACGATATATTATTATATCATATAGTACATCCCTTTCATGAGAACTTCTCTATTTTTACTATAGGGGACATAGGTAACATTTATTCCGTAAAATTCCCCGAGAAGGGCACACTTCTGTCCTATTTATTTATTTGACGATCGTATAGTGAATGGGAGGAGAAACGAGGCAAAGAAAATAGGGAGTCAATGAGTCCTAAGAGAGAAAGAGTGTTGCAGTAGAGATTGTACGATAATGAGTATTTGCTCACGCTATTGCAAGGGAACGCACGAACACGTTATGCAGGTCCCTTCCATGAGCTTGGAATACTAATGAGGAGATATGGGCCATTTGGATGAGGGGATGCCCACCTGCACGTTTCCCATTTATCAACTGACATGAACATGAGGGAAATAACCCTTTTCTGTGAATTTGAACAGTCCAGGTCATCCTTTCGGTCGAATTTAGATAAAGGTGATTAGTCGCTCAACTGGAAAGAGTTGTTCATTCCAAGGGAGCCCGCCCGAGGTCACGGCGAAGCAAAAGATGCTTCCTTTTTCAGAAGTGCGTGGTGGCGTTTCCGCCTTGGAATGAAATTCACCGACGTGAGTTCCAACGCCTCACCTTGAGGCCAAGAATCTTGAGGCCTTGCTCCTTGAGGCCGAGAATCGGGAAACTGCCAAGGCAGAGGCAATGGAAATCCAATTCCGGAGAACTGACTTTCGTGCCTGATCGAGGGCGCCAGCACCAACCCGTGAGAAAGGTCTGATCGATCTTAAGGTCACTGATGAAGAAGCCTACC